TCCTTTCCTTTCGGATCTGACGTTATGAACAACAAATCGACATGGCGGAACAAGAACCTAACCACATGCCCTTGTGAACGCCACAAGTTTTAGTATCGTCTCAGGTGAAATCCCTATGGGGTAACGCCCGCATGCGGGCTGTGCCGCTGGGGCCTTAGCTGGAGCTCCCTGTGGAGCCACGAAGCATGTGATGGGTGTGCCAAAACGGGGGTGACGTCCACATGCGAACGGTTCAACTGGGACCATAGGTGGAGCTCCCTGTGGGGCAACGAATCGTGTGAGGTTTGCCGAAACGGGGGTGCCGCCCACATGCGGGCTGCGCCACTTGTGCCTGAGGTGGAGCACCCTAATTATTGGGCCACGAAGCATTTGAGGGGTGTGCCGAAACGGGGGTGACACCCACATGCGAACGGTGCCACTGGGACCTTAGCTGGACCTCCCCATGAGGCCACGAAACGTGTGAGGGGTGTGCCGAAACAAAAGCGATGCCAACGGTGCCACAGGGACCTTAGCTGGAGCTCCCTATGGGGCCACGAAACATGTGAGGGGTGTGCCAAAACGGGGGTGACGCCCACATGCGAACGGTGCCACTGGGGCCTTAGCTCGAACTGTGCCACTGGGGCCTTCGTGGGAGCTCCCTATGGGGCCACGAAAAGTGTGAGGGGTGTGCCGAAACGGGGGTGACGCCTACATGCGAACGGTGCCCCTGGGGCCTTCGCTGGGGGTCCTTATGGGGCCACGAAAAGTGTGAGGGATGTGCCGAAGCTGTCGGCGATGATGATGATGCTGATGCAGATGATGATGATGATGATGATGATGATGATGATGATGATGTGCAGATGATGCAGATGATGATGATGATGATGATGATGATGATGATGATGATGATGATAATGATGACGATGAGGATGACGATGACGATGATGATGATGATGGTGATGCTGATATTGATGATGATGGTGATGATAAAGATGGTGATTGTGATGATGCTGGTGATGCTGACGGTTTTGATAAGGATGCTGAGTATGATGATGATGATGTTGATGATGGCGATGGCCAGAGTGATGGTGACGAGTATGATGATGGTGGTGATGATGACAGCGACGATGGTGATGCTGATGCTGATTTTGATCATGATGATGATGATGATGATGGTGATGCTGACGGCGGTGATGTCGATGCTGATGTTGTTGATGTTGAAAGTGATAATGATGCTGATGATGATTACGACTGTGAGAATGATAACGACGATGCTGACGATAACGATGACGATGGTGATGGTACTGCTGCTGTTGCTGATGATGATGATGATGATGATGACGATGATGATGATGATGATGATGATGATGATGATGATGATGATGATGATGATGATGATGATGATGACAATGGCGATGACAATATTATGATGCGAGGAGGGGGGGAGGAGGAAGGAACGGGGGGCGCTGTCTCTTCCAAGCGAAGACCCAACCCCACAAGATGGTTGGGAACAATTGCGTTTTTCACCACCGGAACCCGCATCTTTCCCTAGCATGTTTCGAGCCAGATTGAGCCGGGGTGGTCCCGAGGCCCGAAACCAGGCGTCAAGCCCCAGTGTGCAAAATGCAACGCCCAAATCCCAGAGGACCCTGAGATCAGGGCGCTACATTTTGTCGCGCTGGGCCGTTTTCGCTCTGCTTCAGAGCCCCGGACCAGCACAGATCGAATCTGGCCCGAAACATGCAGAGCATCGACGGGGTCCAGGGCTCCACGGGCTCCGCTCGTGATTGCGCGCGACGTTGCAATACATCTGCGCAACGTCGGATTTCAGGGGATGGCCAGAGGGAGATATGGAGGGAGGGAGGGAGAAGGAGAAGGAGGAGGAGGATGAGGAGGAGGAGGGGCTCTGCCCCTGCCGGAGCCGCCGCGCAAGCAGCGCAGAGACCAGTAGCTCTCGCTACAAATGTCATACTTCGACGTGCCGTGCCGTTTTCAAGCTACCATGAGCCGGCCAACCATTACAGAGCAGAATGTGGACTGTCTCTCCTTGCCCTACCTACCACCACCCCTACCTGACAAATGGTCTCGACATAATTAGGTGGTACGTCTTCCCTTTCACCAACCGTGCTGTTACACATTGGCAGTACACCCAATACCTCCAACGCTCCGTTATGCTGTGTATTCCACTGTGGCAGCTACACTACGGCGGCGGTCATACTAATTACGTGCTGTGCCGCTCCAACTACCATGAGCCAGCTACACATTGCAGACCAATTGGGGGTTGTCCCTCCTTGGTTAACCTACTTCCGTTCCTGCGTGGCAAGAGGTCTAGACAAAGTCAGGTGGTACGCCTCTCACTTCAACAACGATGCGATACATACTGGCAATACACCCAATGCCACCAACGCCATCTGCTATGCTGTGTCCTCCATGCTGGCGGCAGGTGCAGTACAACGATCAGATGCCCGTATACTGTTTCCTTTGTGTAGAACGTACGGCTCAAACGTCAGCTTACACCACTTCTACGGGGTGATGCCGTCAGCATCTACATGTCGCGCCACGCCAACTACAACCCGAAACGCGAGACTACTGGTCCCGACGAGACCATTACCGCTTACACAAGGGACCGCACGGACAGGTCGGTGTTTGGGTCCAGGACTTCTACCCGTTCCCGTGTACTTTTTCGGACGGGACTACGTCCACTTGCTGGACTCAACTACTCGCCAAGATTTCGCAGAACAAGAACGGGGCCTACGGCTTCTACGTCTCCGCCATCCAGGCTGCCTTCCAGCACTCCTACAAGTACGCCGAATCCAGAGACGTACAAATGTTCAAAGCATGTGTCCAGAAGGCTCCTACATACCCGTACTTGATAATCGTGAGAGACTGGGGCCACCTTGGCAGAGCCCTATGCCTCTGCAGCGCAAGTACTGGCTTACGCGCTCCAGCTACCTGATGATCAAGACCGAGGAATCCACGGACACGACGATCTTCCATGTATACATCCCCACCGTGAACAAGACGTTCATGCCGCAGTTACCGACGTACCCCACACCTAATGTCGGCGACCTGAAGAAGGCTACGTATGCATGGTCCTGTCTTCCAGCATAATCCCGCGGAGATGTTTACCAAGCTGGGGCTCTACGACCCGTTCTACCAGAACATCATCTTCAAGAACCATGAGAGACTCGTCTACAACCGGACCAAGAACGGTGGCACCCGCTCTTCGGCCATGTCATCACCAGTACAGCGACTTCCAGGAACACCCAGTCATACCAAACACTGGCGACATCAACTACCCCCCGCCGATGAAGATCTACGAGGACTCTCTGTTCCTGGCCACACAGGGTACGAAGCGCCGACGTACTGATTGACTCCAAGAAGAAGCTGTACATAGCACTGCGATACAGTCAACTTCACATACTCCATGTTCTCCATCTACCCTCACAAAACGCTCCACTGGGTCCTCTGAGGATTACATATCTACATCCGGGGGGAGGGAGTGACCTACAACGTCAACGGTTGCACTCCTCCCCCCTTCAGGCCACGGCGACCCCATCTCTCCCTCTTTCCTCCGCGTGACGACGTCATCGCCCCCCTCCCCCCCCCTCCTCCTCGTCGGCCGACTTTACAACACCACGTCGGGGTACGGTGGAGGTGGGCGTGGATCACCCCACGTGAGCCGCGCCACGCTCCCAGGCTGCCATAGGCGTCGGGAGCGACCGCTTGCGGCGGCAGGAGGAGGAGGAGGAGGAGGAGGAGGAGGAGGAGGAGGAGGAGGAGCGAGAAGGAGGAGGAGCGAGGAGGAGCGAGGAGCGAGGAGGAGCGAGGAGGAGCGAGGAGGAGCGAGGAGGAGAAGGAGGAGGAGAAGGAGGAGGAGGAGGAGGAGGAGGAGGAGCGACGAGGAGGGAGGGAGGGAGGGAGGGAGGGAGGCCACTCGACGAGTCAGAGAAACTCAAAGGCTGCCGCCGCGCCCTCGCCCCGGGCCTCCCCCGGGGCGGCGCGCACAAGGGAGGTTAATTTGGGGGGAGAGGGGGAAGGAAGGGGCCAGGGACACACAAATAAACACACACACATAAATCCCAGGATTCCTCATGCTTGCTATTTTTTTGTCTGGGTTTTCGTCTTCCCCCCCCCCCCACCACACACACTTTCCATGTTTTCACATATCTTCCTGGGAATGGACGATTCTTTGTGTCTGTGTGTATATTTCCCTCCTGATGGAAGGCATCTGAGAAGGAGGCTGCTTCTTGGATGGCGCCGGTGCGAGCCGGATTGAGCTGTGAGGGCCCCAGGGCCCGAGATCTGGTTAAAGCGCCCGTTCTGAAAAGAATGCGACACCAGGATCTGAAGGTTCTAGGAAGCCTTCCCATTCCTGGATACAGACGAAGTCTACAGCAAGAACGGGCGATGAGGACGCAAGGGCCGTGGACGCTGAAGTTGGCACTTGTTGGGCGCAAACTGCCAGTGCCCTGAAGGGCTGGCCAGTGAAACCCGCGAAAGACGGGCCGCAGAGGCAAGAACGCAAGGGTAATTACCCTACGGACATCCGTGCGTCCTTACTAGGACTTTTGACTCGACCTAAGACCAAGCCAGGACGGTGATACATTCGGATGAAGATACATCGAGAATATCTGAGACGTGGCGGCTCTGGAGGATGTCTCGGGCGCCACAGCCTTCTCAGAGCCTTCCGCGACGCTCTGAGGGCGTTCTGGACCGATCTGGAACTAGGGGAACGAAAAATAACATAAACATAACAATTCGGAAGTCCGCGCGGACTTCTCCGATCGGCGCTGGGGCGCCCTGGCGGCGCCTCCGGCGCCGCCCCTGGCGCGCCCCGCGCGCCAGGGAGGGGGTTCCAGCGCCGATCCGAGAAATCCGCGCGGACCTCCGAAATGGTTGTTATGTTTTCGTCGCTGCTCGTTCCCCTAGGAAAACCGCGTCCTCGTCCTAGCCCCGCCCGGCTAACACCCCTCGGCGCGTGGCCGGCCCCCGAAGAACAGCGGCGGGCGCGGGCCGACCCGCGAGAGCACGTCCGGCCGCCTCGCCTGGCGCGCGCGCGCGCGAGCTCCCGCCGCCGCGCGCCTCCCCCAGCCCCTCAGCGGGGGCAGCCTCCCCGGGCCCGCACTGGAGCCTGGTTCTCTTTAGACCCAGGGGAGCCTACCTGCATGGCGTTCGCCCCCCCCCCCCCCCCCCCTCTCGCCCCTCTTCAGTCGAATGATTGCAAAAACGTGCAAGCGCCTTTCGCCTTGCGTGATTTCCGCACGGCCAGCTGCTTCCGGCGCTCCACTGGCTCAGCCCCCCCCACCCACCCCGACCATACAAGTAGACTTGCCCGGGTCAGATAAATAATTACCCTGGCGACGTACCCAACCCCTTCGCAATGCGGGACATGAAAAACGTGGAAATAGTTATACGGGGGTGATGACGTGACATGGGCGCACATACTTTTGCGAGCGGCATTCGTGAGAGGCTTGCAGACCCCCCAAGATTGGTAAGTCCCGCTCAGACCTGCGTGGTGCCTCACTCCGCCCGACCCACCACCAGCCTTCGAAAAAAACAACGGTCTCGCAGATCGCAGCCCCCCGATGACGGCGAGGTCCCGCTCAGATTTGCGCGGTGCGTCGCCATGCTGGCCCCCACCAGCAGCCCCCCAAAGTGGCGATGGTTTCGCAAACCGCAGCCTCCCAGGGACGGCGAGGTCCCGCTCAGATCTGCGCGGTGCCTCAGTCGGCTGGACCCACCAGCAGCCCCCCAAAGTGGCGATGGTTTCGCAAATCGCAGCCTCCCAAGGACGGCGAGGTCCCGTCAGATCTGTGCGGTGCCTCGCTCTGCTGGACCCATCAACACCCCACGACTGCGGCGACAATTTCGCAGATTGCAGCCCCCCCGGGACGGCGAGGCCCCGCTCGGATCTGCGCGGTCCCCCACTCCGCTGGACCCACCAGCAACCGTCGAAAGTGGCGACGGTTTCGCATATCGCAGCCCCCCAGGGACGACGAGGTCCCACTCAGATCTGCGCGGTGCCTCGCCCCGCTGGACCCACCAGCAGCCCTGGAAAATGGCGACAATCTTGCTGATCGCAGCCCCCCAGGGACGGCGAGGTACCGCTCAGATCTGCGTGGCGCCTCGCTCCGCTGGACCCATGAGCGGCCCTCGTGGCGACAAATTTGCAGATCGCAGCCCCCAGGGACGGCGAGGTCCCGCTCAGGTCGGCGCGGCGCCTCGCTCCGCTGGACCCACCAGCAGCCCTCGAAAGTGGCGACGATTTCGCAGACCACAGCCCCCCAGGCAAGGCAAGAGGAGACAAGAAAGAGGAGGGGCGGGAGGAGGAGGAGGAGGAGGAGGAGGAGGAGGAGGAGGAGGAGGAGGAGCAACGCTCCCATGAAAGAGACGAGAAGAGGGCAGGCGGGCAAGAAAGGGACGAGACGAGGGCAAAGCGTTCAAGATCCACGTCTCTCTACAGCAGCGGCGGCGGCGGCAGCCAGCGGTGGGGGCGGGGGCGCGCCTGCGCCCGCAGGACGAAAGGCACGTGGGGGGACAGGCGCACCCTGCCCTGCCAACGGGTCGGCTCCTTGGAGAAGGAGCCGTCTAAAATGAGACCTTCCTGCAGCGGCCCTGGCCCTCGCGTTCACGAGGGAAGAAAAGGACCGAGCTGAATGCAAATCCTGGACACGGAGCGAATTGTTGCTAGAGAAGAGGAGATCAAGAGCAACGAGACACGAGCAAAGCGAGGCGAGAGACGGCCAAAAAAGACAGGAAAGGACGAGCAGGGGGGGAGGGGACTCCAGACAGAAAAACGATGCCAGGATCGGGGAGACGGGGAAAAGCTTGGCTCACGACTTGATGAACAATAAGAAAGGAGAGGTAGTGTTTCAGATTGTCTCCATCTGCAAGCCCACAGATACGACAGTCATTAGCCCCAGACCGATATCTGGCAGACGTATTCCAAGCGTTACACAGGGTTTTGACATAGGCAGTAGCACAGGACTCAGGCAGCTTACGAGCGGCACTTCGAAATCGGCGGAGCGTGAGATGACCATCCCTAGCAGAGATCGGGCCCCACTTCCTCAACTTGTTCATGAACATGTTCATGCAAGAAAAGGAATCCTCGGCCAGTACATAGGCCTTCAAACATTTACTCTGGAAATTCGGTATCCACCTGTCCGTCGGCATATTAGGTATCTGTTCAATGAAATGAGAAACGTAGGTAAGATGGGAGAATATAGAATTGCAATAATAGGTGCCGTACTTCCAGGAAATACATAGTTCAGCATCTGCATCTAAGTCCTCCAAGAGACAGCGTGGATTATAATATGCGCCAGACCTCGAAGCAAGACGGCCGGCAGCAGCAAGGGCGTAGTGGGCCAGTGAGCGCACCGATGCTCCATGCCCAAATTCAGACAGATGAACTAGCATGGCCGAGTTGATCGCGTTCCTCGGGCCTGCGGTCAGCAGCTGGACGCACTCGCTTCCCAGCTTCAGGATGTTCCTGGGCGGCCTCCGAAACTGGGCAACATAGCCAAGCACAGGGAAACCAAAAGCGTTGTAGGCCACGATGTTTTGTCCCAAAGAGCGCCCAAGCCCACGGATCCTCCGAGTCCTGGCAACCAAGGAACTCCCAGGACCATCCCACGACATCTTCACCAAGAACACCAACGATAATTCCCAGATGTTTCTCAGAGGAGGCAGCCTGAAAACGGCGAATACAGAGCCCAAGCTTCTTAAACTCAGCATGAACAGCCGCGAATTCAAAATCTCGCTGCATACTAATCACCGTCTTATCTGGGCGGAGAAGCAGGCCTGCAGTAGCTTCTGCCCGAAGAAGGCGTCGCGCAAAGGTGGGGGGATGCCGATAAATATCTTTCGACACCAGCGCCAGATCATCAGCGCAAGCAGAGAGCACGTGGTCAGATCCAGGAAGAAGCCCTTGAAGGAAACGAATAAGTGGATCGAAAACCAGAACAAACAATATGCCACTCAGGGGGCACCCTTGTTTTCTCCCGCGCCCCAGGGGAAACTTGCGCTCCTGATTGCCACGGAACGATACGACCGCCTCCACTTCTGTATACATGGAGCGCAAGGCCGTGAGGAACCAGTCAGGCAGGCCCATCTTGGTCAGGACGCGCCACGTCCACCCGTGAGCCACAGACGGAAAAGCTGCGCGGATATCAAACAGTGTGCCTCCAGCATTCCTATGGCCAGCAGCTTTTGACCACACCATAAGAGTACAGTCTAATGATACAAAATTGTCGGTAAGATTGCGGCCGGGCACAAAACCATTCTGCGCAAGATGAATAGAACTCTGGCCAATGGCCCCCAGAGGCCTCGCTGGGGCCGCCGCGAGGATTTTGTTGTCGGTGTTGGATAAAGATAGAAGCCGAACCTTGTCCTCGCTACGCTGCTGGAGGGAGGTGCCGGGGTCAGGCTCACCTTTGGGTAAGAACGTACCCATCGACTTGTTAAATTCAGCAGCGAGGGTTCCACCAGAACAAACATAATCATATAATTCATGGAGAGAATCTCAACATTGTTCCCCTGCACGGGGTACCATCGGGGTACTGCGCTGGCGGGATCTCAACATTGTAATCCCATGGTATAATCCATGGGAGAATCTCCACAGATCCAGGCACTGCACGGGGTACCATCGGCCCCAAGTGCAGAGTCTTTCCGCTTCAGAATCTGCTGGTGGAACTCCATGCGGGATAGACGCCATTGCACTCTAGTCGGCGCAGCTTGAATATGAGAGTCCAGGCAAGCAAGGAGTGAGGCAAACGGTTCAGGAAGCGCAGCAGGGTCAGCGTCCTCCTGAAATTTGAAAGGCTTGGTCACGTCGCGCCAGTACTTGGCGAGTGCTGCAGCGCAGGCCTCGGGGCCCCGAGAGACAGTGCCCTCGGAGTCCACAACGCTGTGAAGCTTAAGATTCCGATGCGCAGGATCCCAGGCACGTGAGAGTTCAGCGGGCGATTAAGTTTATGTTCCTTCGCCTTGTGGTGTAAGCCCTGGCCCCGAGAAACCTCAGCGGTCGCCTCCTCATAAAACCTCCTCTTGTATCTAGTAAGAGCATCAATCAATCCAGGAAAATCAAGCCAAACCATGTTCGAAGCATCATGATAACCAGTAAGCTCAGCATAGGCGCGGCAAGCTCTCGAGACTGTCCTGAAGTGCACAGACCGATGGGCCCGCAAAAGGGCCACCATCCACGCGAGCTTTTCGGCCACCGCCCCAGGTCCGAGGATTTCGCGCTTTCTCTTCGCGCGAGAGCTTGCTTCATGCATCAATGCTTTAATCTCCTGTACGCGTTGAAGAGGATCCGAGGATCTATCAATCTCTTCCAGCAGCTCCAATAAAAGATCCCGTGAACAGCGGCGAGCGTGGCACCCGCCTTGGGATGGAGCTCCTCTGCTCGCGCTGAGGGTCAAGCGCGACGAAAACAGGGCAGTGGTCGGACGGCAGCTCCGGGTCTGTTACTGGCCAGCACACCCCCGACATAGGGCTAAGGTCCAATAGATCATGGGATGGCATATCTAGATAAATGCGATCAAGACGAGCAAGAGATTGTAGAGTAGAGTGTTGCGCAAATTTATGGGTATACCCAGGCTGGTCAATCTCGCAGAACCGACCGAACTTCCCAGCAAAGAACTTGCTAGGGGAGGCCGAAGACGAGGAAGAGGAGCAAGATGAATCAAGTCGTAACCGATATTCCCCATCTTCACAGAAATTCCAACCACCGCCCAGAATACTTGTGGAGAGAGCCTGCGAGGGGAGGGAGAGAGAGTCCAGGATGCACTACAGCAACTGGCGCCGAACGGACAGGCGCAAGCAGGGGTCAAGATGCACACTCGCGATGCAGTCGGCCGTACTTCCCGCGAAGATCAACCGAAAGACATTTCCCTTCAATTATCTCGCGCGGCACGGTGCGATCAAAAAGCCGCGCCAAACTAGCATGAATCATCAGAACCACGCCCCCAGAGATGTCTTCTGAAGTAAAGGTCCCAAAGCACTGGTGAACAGGGGAAACGCGGGCAAGCTCCAGAAGGCCCTCGGGGCTGCCGTGGGTCTCCTGAAGGGCAACGATGTCATATTTTCCCCAAGGTACTTATGCTTCCCCCCATTTCTGCTGAGACAGAGTGTGATTGGCCCAGACGCTACCGAACAATGTGCGAACATTCCAGGTAACCATTGAGATACCCATAGGAAGGAAAAAAGGGAAGCTATAAAAATCCCGGCCTGGCAGAGGAGGTGGGGGCGGGGCAAGAGACAGCACAAGTGACGGCTGCAGAGTGACAGGGCGCAAATCAGAAGTCCCAGACGAGGGCTCCGAACACAACGAGGAGGCCGAAAAAGTGCACGCAGAACTGGAAGAGGAGGTGCCATCCCGAAGCTGCTGGACCCCAAATCGAACAGCAGCACTGGAGGCCGGTGCGACCAACGGATCATTCCATATCTCACAGCTTGTAATTGGTGCCGAAGATAGTCACAGCTCGGTGCTCTCGATGATCTCGCGGATCTTGGCTTCGCTGATGCCCCGCACCTCGAGCGTCTTCGAGTTGGGGAAGAACCTCTCAACGTCGGCGCCGCTGTGCTCGCGTGAGACGAGCTCGTCAATGTCATTGTCATCGAACACATACATCACTCCACGCTGCCCATTCACTCCAAGCCGGTGCTTCTCTGTCCACATGGCCGATTTCTGAAGCTCTGCCTTCACCGCTGGGTAGATCTTCGCGAAAGATCTGGCGCGGAGACGAACGGGAAGTGGGCGATCTCCTCGACACCATATGTTGGACGCGGTGTTGTGCCGCCGATCAAGCCACTTGTGCCCATCGTTGTTGAACGCTGCCTGGAACTGTGATGCTTGAGCCATGCTCGGGACATGCAACTTGTATGCTTTGCCAATCTTATTCATCGTCATCTCAGTGTCCTTCAGCAGGACAAGATACTTGTCTTTCACAGAATCATGAAATTTAGTGCGAGTCGACTCCAGGACCGCTCTGGGCCATGAGCCAATCCACCTCATACAAGGGTCCTCAGGTGGGCCTGCACGGTCATGTTGAGCTCGTTGCTGGTACCGAGGGGCGCGAGGTCCGCCAGTACCACCACCACCAGAAGAGGGGCCCTCAGAGGGGGCCACACTCATATATTCAAATTTGTTCTTCAGCTCCTGGAACTCACGTTTCTGTATATCACGCTCAGTGCGCACCTCGGTGCGCAGCTCGTCGAGTCCTCGAGAAATTCGTTCATTCGCAGTCTTCACCTCATCAACTTGGTTCTGAACTTCCATGATATGACGGGTGACATGTCCATGGTTCTCCTTGATCTGCATCAGGATAGCCTTCTGGTTCTCGGCGAGCTGTCTCCTCAAATATTTACTCAGTTATTTGAACGAGTTGTTCTCATCCAGGGGATCGTCCGACTGCTTCGCCCGCTTCGCACGAGGACCCATCACTGAACACAAAATGTGTAAAAGGGGAGGAAGGTGTGTCCGCCTGAAATGGGCCTGTCCCACTCAAGAGAGGAAGGTGTGTCCCCCTTCAAGAGAGGCTGCCGCACTCAAATGGGGCCTGTCCCCACCTTGAGCCAAAATGGCTTGAGCCAAAATGGCTACGGAGGAGGAGGAGGAAGAGGAGGAGGAGGAGGAAGAGGAGGAGGAGGAGGAAGGAGACGCGACCGCGGTGCTCTATTCCAAACGAATACCCAACCCATGGGGGTTGGGAAAAGCCGACTGGACGTCGAGAAAACCGTCTGACGATTTCACGCCCAGACAGAACACCTGGGCGACACTACCCGAAGGGAGGTGCCCAAGGTGCCTGCATGAATTCACATGCGCTCGGACCTCGCAATATGAACGGCGGCACAGACCCGCCCCAGGCGTCACATCTGCGCCGCCGTTGCGAGGCGCCTCGAGATGCCACCCCGAGACACGGCCACCGGCACCACCCCCACTTGGCCGCCGGCCGCAAGCAGTGGAGGCCCCCGCTGCCCAAGGACTTGAGTCCCCGCGCCCCCCACGTCGGGGGACCACTTCGAGTAACCTTATCGGGCCTCTCAGGGGTGGTACGGCGGGCCCGCACCTACTGTGACTGGCCAACTACAGGGCAAGAGTCCCCCCCACAGCCCCGTCGAGCTGTGGTGACGATCGGGCTGCCATACCGCCTGTTTTCCTGGGACGCCACGAGGGCACCCAGCGGCACAGGTGCCAAGAAAACCGTCCAACCACACGAAGAACAGATCTCACACACCATGAGACGATGTGGCCCGACAGTCTGGGCCCAAACCGCCCTCAGGGGCCCGCTTGTGGCGCGGCCCGCGGCTCGGAAAATAATAACGCACCTGCTGGCGCCGCCAGCTCGAGCTGGCGACGCATGGGGCCTCCTGCGAAGCGACGCGGCGGCGCCTCGCCGCGCGCCACGAAGCGGCAACAAAACTCATTATATGGCGCATTCCCTCCAACTCGCCCTCCTCCTCCTCCTCCTCCAACGCCTCCTCCTCGAACTCTTTCTCCTGATCCTCGCCCTCGACGTCTTCCTCCTCCTCCTCCTCCTCCTCCTCCTCCCCTCCTCCTCTTCCTCCTCTTCTCATCCTGCTTATTGTTCCTCCTCCTCTGCCTCCTCCTCCTCCTCTTCCGCCTTCCACCTCCTCCTCCTCCTCCTCCTCTTCGTCGTCGTCTCAGTATTACTAGAATGAGTATTCGAATTCGTATTCGTCGTTATCTTCCTCTTCCCTTTCCTCCTCCTCCTCCTCCTCCTCTTTCTTTTCCTCTCCTCCTCTCCTCCTCCTCCTCCTTTCCTCCTCAACGTTCATCCTCTTCCTCCTCCTCCTCCTCTTCCTCCTCGTCCCCCTCTTCCTCTCCTCCTCCTCCTCTCCTCCCCTCACTCCCCCTTCCCCCCCCCTCCTCCCTCCATTCCTCTCATTCTCCCTCCTCCTCCTCGTCCTCCTCCTGCTCCTCGTCCTCCTCCTCCTCCTCCTCCCTCCCTCCTCCCCCCTCCTCTCCTCCCTCCCTCCTCCCTCTTCCTCCTCCCTCCCCCTCCTCCCTCCTCCCCCCCCCTCCCTCCCTCCTCCGCCTCCCTCCTCCCTCCCCCCTCCCTCTTCTCTCCTCTCCTCCTCTTCCTCGTCCCCTCCTCCTCCTCCTCCGCATCCTCCTCCTCCTTCTCATCGTCCTCCGCCTCCTCCTCCTCCTCCTCCTCCCTCCTCTCCTCCTCCTCCTCCCTACCTCCTCCTCCTCCTCCTCCCTCCCTCCCTCCTCCTTCCTTCCTCTCCTCTCCTCCTCTTCTCTCTCCTCCCCTCCCTCCTCCTCCCTCCTCCTCCCTCCTCTTCTCCTCCTCTTCTCCTCCTCCTCCCTCCTCCCCTCCATCCTCCTTTCCCGCTCCCCTTCCCTCCTCCCTCCACAAATACTCAATATGAATACTACTCCCCCTCTTCCCCTGATGGCGTGCTGGGAGTAGCCGACCCCCCCCGCGTACTGTTTTTTACACACAAGATTCCCGGGATTTGGGTTTTCGCGAGGCGCCGGCCTCATTTCTGCTTCCGAATCGTTCCGAATCGTGCTCCCGCTGCAGCGTGGGCCTCATTTTCAGATCAGTGTTTTGCCTCCGTCGTTCAGGATGGCGTTCTCGCCCCAGCGCGGGCCTCTTTCTCGCGCGCCCATCCGCCCGCCACCACCGCGCCGCACCGCGCCCCGCCCCGCCGCACGCACACCCACCGCCACCGCGCCCCGCCCCGCCGCACGCACACCCACCGCCACTTCCACCCACCAACGCACGCACGCACGCACGCGCACCACCACCGCGCACCGCCACCACCACCGCACTACCCCACCCACCACCACCACGCTACACCGCGTCACACCACATCACACGCGCGCACACACACGCACACGCACGCACACGCACGCACGCACGCACGGCACGCACGCACGCACGCACGCACGCACGCACGCACGCACGCACGCACGCACGCACGCACGCACGCACGCACGCACGCACGCACGCACGCACGCACGCACGCACGCACAGACACACACACACACCACCACCGCCACCACCGCCACCACCACCACCACCACCGCCATCACGCACGTACGCTCCTGGCCCACCACCAAACCACCAAGACGCCACACCACGTCACACCACAGCACACGCGCACACACGCACACACACACACATGCACACCACCACCACCACAACAACCGCAACCACGCAAACACGCACGCACGCGCACCACCACCAACTACGCACACGCGCGCGGAGCAACAGGTCCGCTACGACACGCGTCCGCGGATAGAGAAAATCAGCGCCATGGTAAGGGATGGGAGGGAGGGGTAGGATGTCACATGTTGACGCGAGGGCACCTAACTTGTCCCTCCCCCCTCCGTCCTCCCCCCTTCCCTCCTCCCTCCTCCCTCCTCCCTCCTCCCTCCTCCCGCCTCCCGCCTCCCGCCTCCCGCCTCCAAACTCCAGCCTCCTGCCTCCCGCTTCCCGCCTCCCTCTTCCCGCATCACGCCTCCTTCCCCCATCATTCCTCCTCCTCCTCCCTCCTCCCTCCCCCTCTCCGCCTCCCTCCTCCCTCTCCCTCTGCCCGCCCTCCCCCCCTCCTCCCTCCTCCCCTCCCTCCTCCCATCCTCCTCCCTCCTCCCCCCCCCTCCTCCTCCTCCCCTCCTCCTCCTCCTCCCCTCCTCCTCCTCCTCCTCCTCCTCCTTCCTCCTCTCCTCCTCCTCCTCCTCCTCCTCCTCCCCCTGCTCCTCTCCTCCTCCTCCTCCTCCTCCTCCTCCTCCTCCTCCGCCTCCTCCTCCTCCTCCTCCCTCCTCCTCCTCCTACTCCGTCTCCTCCTCCTCCTCCTCATCCTGCTCCTGATCCTCCTGATCCTCCTCCTCCTCCTCCTCCTCATCCTCCTCCTCCTCCTCCTGATCCGCCTCCTCCTCCTCCTTCTCATCCTCCTCCTCCTCCTAATCATCATCATCATCATCATCATCATCATCATCATCATCATCATCATCATCATCATCATCATCATCATCATCATCGTCGTCGTCATCATCATCATCATCATCATCATCATCATCATCATCATCATCATCATCATTACCATCATCATCATCAGCAGCATCATCATCAGTATCATCAGCATCATCGGCATCTTCATCATCAGCATCATCATCATCATAATCATCCTCATCAGCATCAGCATCAGCATCATCAGCATCATCACCATCATCTTAATCATCATCATCATCAACAGCGTCATCGTCATCAGCATCATCATCCGCAGCAGCATCAGCAGCGTCATCAGCAGCCTCATCGTCATCATCAGCATCATCATCAGCAGCATCATCCTCACCATCTTCATCCTCATCCTCTTCCGCATCATCATCCGCATCCTCATCGTCAGCAGCAGCATCAGCAGCATCATCATCAGCAGCATTAGCAACAGCAGCATCATCATCAATTACCAGCAGCATCAACATCATCAGCATCATCAGTATCATCAGCATCATCATCATCAGCAGCAACATCGTCATCTGCATCAGCATCGTCGTCGTCAGCCGCACCACCAGCATCATCATCAGCATCAGCATCATCAACATCATGACCATCATCATCATGACCATCATCATCCGCATTATCATCAGCATCATCAGCATCAGCATGACCATCATCATCATCATCATCAGCAGCATCATCATACTCTTCATCATAATCATAATATCCTCCTCCTCCTCCTCCTCCTCCTCCTCCTCATCTCCTCATCTCCTCATCTCCTCCTCCTCTCATCCCCTCCTCCTCCTCCTCCTCCTCCTCCTCCTCCCTCCTCCCTCCTCCCTCCTCCCTCCTCCCTCCTCCGTCCTCCCTCCTCCCTCCTCCCCCTCTTCCTCCTCCTCCTCCTCCTCCTCGTCCTCCTCCTCCTCCTCCTCTTCCTCCTCCTCTGGGGCCCGAAGAGAAGGCGAAAACACCCAGCTCGAGCAAGACTGAGACGCCAAGATCTCAAGGTTCTCACTCCCCCCTGGGGCTCGCCACCGATCCGCAAAAAACGTGAGTGGGCCACATCCATATACGTTGACGGCATCTATACACCACCACCGTGCCAAGCCAGAACCACCCTGGCCCTGGCATGGTGTGTACGCCCTCCTGGCCGAGGCCAGAAGGGTCTATACAACATCCTAGGGCCCCAGATGGTCCTGGCCTTGTACGGTGGTAGTGTACAGACGCCTTCGTTGGAACGTCGGCTAATTCCACAGATACGGTGGGGCTCGTGCCGTGGCGACCTCGGCGTGAGGCTCAGTGACCGTGGGAGAAAGGCTATCCTCCCTAGGAGCGGTCGCTGCTCCAGTAGCGTAGGATCTGGACCAGAAGGAACCTTCCACGAGAAGCCCCACCCTGAAACCAAAGGGTGTACATTGTTTGTTGGTATGTGAGCGTCACGTTTTCCTTAGTGAAGCCATCGAAACCCAAGATACCCAGGGCACCCTGGAGGCAGACAGGGTGTTTCTTGGTCCCACTGTAAGCGATCGCTGCTTTCCAAAAGTGCGAGTCTCTCGCTCTATGTCGTCCGACTCTGGGTCGCTGTCGGCGCTCAAGCTTGAATTCGGTCGGGCACGTCCTCCTGCAGGCGGATTTGGGAAGAATCATCAAACATAGCCCACACATAATCAAAGATTGCCAAACAAGAGCACGATCAACCGTCACCAGGCCATTGTTTACTGCTATTGGATACTCCTCCTGTAGAGGGACCTGCCCGACTTAAAGCTTGAGCGACTATGCTGGTGGTCGTTTTTATCGGCGTTTCGACATTGGGCGGAAAGGGGGGGGGAAGGGGGGGTCTGGCTCCAGACCTCTGCTCAGTGCGACTGCGACTGTTTGCAAGAGTGCGTCCTGTGGTGGAGGCTCCACCTGCTCCAAACAGGCGTCAAAACAGCCGAGATCTACTCCTCGGCGGTGGACAAACCTCCCTTTAGTAAACCTCCCCTTAATTAAAACGGCCTGGGACCGACACCGACGGACCTGGACCCGCAAAAATGACGGCCGCGACGCCCTCTCGCGAACCGAAAACGGCCAATTCGCTAACCGACGTGTCAGGGTAGGAAGTCGAAGTCTATCAACCTCCGGTACTCCACGGAGGGGGGGGGAGGGGGGGGTTTGGGGTCCGCGCCGATCGGCAAAGCAGTAATGAATAAAAGACGATCACCTGGTGTCGCCGCTGAGCGGATACTAACGGTGACGATCTTCTGCTCACCGCCTTCGCGGCGGCGGTTCCTGCGACCCGCGCCGCGCCTGCTTCTGGGGGCGCGCTCAGCGTGTCGCGCGCCGAGGCTCAGGTCGGGCATGTCCTCCTACAGGCGGATTTCTTTGACAAAAAAACAAACAGCAGTCAAACAAATAATCAAAGCATGTTCAAAGATAGTCGAAGCATCGTATCCATATGATCTTTGAAACTACAGTTTTGAATATTCCTCCTGTAGAGGGACGGGCCCGACTTAAGCCGAGGCGTGGTGGGCCAGCGGCGCGACACACTGAGCAAGCGTTCTTGA